CCCTGTAAAAAAAAAAAAAAAAAAAAAAAAAGTAAAAGCACTGGTAGCACCGTATTACTAAGCTTTTACTCAACTTTTCTGAAACTGGTCAAGTATCCTGATCCAGGTGACTGAGAGTAGTGAGAAATAATGGAGTGGGAACAAGTCAAAAAATGGGAATGAGGTTCCTCAGTGCAAATTTGTCCACGAAGGGCATAAAACTGTTGTTAATACCTTCCCAATGTACACAAGCTGAATATACATGTACAGATATACAAGCTGTACACCTGTACTAGAAAAATGGGATGGACTCAGGATTCTAATGACATACCTAAATGTCCAATACCTGAAGCTCTATATAGTCCTCTTGGCTCATCCCACACAGACATCTAAAAAGATGGAGTAACATTTGAGTTATCTTATCCTTTTGTTTTCATTTTTTCCCCTTTTTGATTCCTTAACTTGATCAGCCACTTTCCATAAAATACAGATTACTTCAAAGAGCACCTTGATTCCTGCTAGTTACTTATCAGTCAAGTCACCAGTTATCTACGTCATTAGTGGCTTACCTGCTCACGTACTAGTGCAGCCAAGTGATCCAATAGCCTCTTGTTCTTTTCCTCTAGTGTTTGCAAACTGAATTTCATTGAAACCGTTTCTGGCTATGAACAGGAAAATCCAACTCTTAATTGTACCACTTCAAAATTTCCAGAGTCACAATACATGAATATCACAAAACCTCAGCACTACATATGGATTAGGTACAGTCTCTCCTGTTTCAGAGAGCTCTTCCAGAACAGTGAAAGTCATGCTGACTTCAGTCACAACACTAAGGAATTTCTCATTTATACCACAAACACTACCTCTCCTTTACCAGGCTGTGCATATGCAAGGAAGCTACACAGGTAAAACAGCTAGGAGAAGCTGAAAATTATTTATCATTTGCCATAGCAGCATACAGACTTATTACTACAAATAGGACCTTGTGTAGGTAGCAGTAGGGTTGCTGCTCCAAAGGACACATCCATATAGACAAGAAAAATATCAAACAGCAAAGTGAACAGTATGGCTACGGTAAATATCACATTATTTAGAAATAATTTAGTTAAAGAGTAAGAAAAATGAAAGGAAAACTTAAGAGAAAGACAACACTAAATTTAAAGAACAGCCATATACATCGCAAGATACCTCATTCTCTGTTTTTTCTACTTCCAATTTGTTCCTTTCCTGTATGGTTTCATTTGCTGTTGTCCTTATCTGTCAAAAGAAACGTGAAACCATTGTCACCTGAAAACATCCAGATTCATAGATATATTACACATTTTCAGAACAGTTGATCTGAAGGTTGCAAGTGAACTCCAAAGTTCAGAAATAATATCTGTAGAGCTGCCCTGTCTTCTCTCCCTTTCCATGCTTCATGGACATGACAATTCAAAATATAAGCATAGTAGTAAAGGGGAGAGTGTGTCACACTTGCCACTGCAATAGCAAAAAAATATTCTGAAAGCAGAACTGGTATGTAAATAAGAACTCTAGCAACGTGGGTCCAAAAGCAGCCTTCAAGAATATAGCTTTAACACAGTAAGTTTTCTGTAACTCCTGTTGAAGATCTTTCTTTTCTGCCAGCAGAGATGCCTTCTCTTGCAAAGCTGTCTCAAGTTCACCTTGCAGTCTAGCAACAGTATATTCCAAAAGCTGTCTCTGTGTGGTTGCTGCCTCCTCAGCAAGGCTTGCTTTCTGCCTGTATTTGCCATGCTCTATATGCAAGGCGCCCCTGAAGAAAGACAAAATAGCCAAGCTGGAGTTCTAGCACAACAGCAGGACAGAAGATGGCCTCCATATTAAGTATCAAACTGGCCCTTCTGTGTTAATAGGCAACAAGTGCTAGAAAAGCAGAAATCAAGGTGGTGAGAATGCAACAGAAGAAAGGGAGACAGAGGCTGCAGATGAGAAAACTCTTCACTGCTCTCTTTGAAGCTGAGCCCTCTCATGCTGCACACTCTGCAGCTCTGTGAAAATGTTGGCATGGGCAGCATTCAGAAGTGAGACTTGCTCTTGCAGATTATGAATCTTTTATTGTTCTGCCTAAAGGGGAAGAATTACCCAGGCAATAACACTAACATCAGAATGATGAGGGATGAGTAATTAATTTACAAAGCTGCTAATTTGTCATTGAGGTCCTGCATGATCCCTGTAGTTCTGCATATTGTGGTGTGCAGCTTCTTCAATAGGGTGTCAAAGCTGAGTTCACCTTACCTAGCTTTTATATACATATTTAATTTCAGATCCTTATTACTTCCACTCAGCTTCTGCATTTACAGTACTTACAATGTCCATTAATTCCTACATTCCTCTTTCTCAGTGGTTGTTACAGGATGTTTCTATAAATAGTATTATCATAGTTACACTCTCTACCCACAACATATGACTTTTTTTTTCTGTACTCAAAATAAATCTTTGCCAAAGAAGGACACTAACACTTTTTTATCTTTATAGAAATTCATCTTTATAGAAATTCCATTGCTATATGTAAAGTATTTTACTGTATTCCCACAGATTATCAGTATTAGGAATTAGTCTGTTGTCTGATGTCCAAGCTGCAGATAACTTTCTTGGACTGTAATAGTAGACTACATACCTTAGGCATGGTCTCATGATCTGAAATGAGTTTAGCATTCTCCATGGCAACACTTTGGAGCATGGTGCTGAGCTCTGAGCATTGCTGACTTAAGTGGTCATTTAGCACCTGGTTAGATAGAAGGAAGAGGAGGATGACAAACGTTTTCAGGGGTCTGGGGTTTTTTTCATGCATAGTAGGCTGTCAGAAACTTTTAGAAAATCTCTTGCAGATGTGGAAAAATCTATTTTAGGTAGAAGATGGTCAAAAAAATTTGTTCAGGTAGTCCCAATTTATGATGGACTTACTCCAAGGTGTTAAAACTTTACAGTAATGGGAAAAAAGAGAATATAGTTTACAAATCAAGTAGTTACGAATCAAGCACTTATTAGTTTTGAAGTCCAGAAAAAAAGTAATGTTTCTAAGGCAAAGAAGGCAAAAACTGAAAATGGACCCCTATTCATTTCACATCTGAATTATTGTAGATAACCAAAGAAAATTGGAACTTTCTGTGAAAGACATATCCAAATCCCATTACCAGTGAACACCACCCGATAAACTAGTAGCTGTTGGGGGGAGGGGAAAAAAATAGAAAAAATGTTTTCAAAAATATGTTCTAAAGAGGGAAAGTAGACTAAATAAAATTTTTTTAGAATGTACTGAGGTCAACCTTTTGTCCCAAAAGGCAGAGGAAATTTTAGCCAAGCAGGTACTCCATATTTGACTCATTAATAGAAACGTGTTCATGTAGAATCTAAAGGTGCACAGGAATATAAATATACTACTTCAAGGGTAGATAGAAAAGGGAGCAGCAGTAGTTCTGCACATCATGGCCCCTGAAGAAGGCACTTTGAAAAAAAGCTGATTCAAAACAAGAAGAAAAGTTTCCAGCCTTAAGGCTGGGAAATCTGGAACTGTTAGCTAGGCTAGTGATTGAATTTCTTCACTGGAAGTTGCTCATTAGCCCACATTACCTGAGGGCACTAAACTTTGTCTCCTGACCTGCATTTGAGGCTTCCCAGTAATCTTTAATCGTTTCTCACTGGAATCACTTGTTTCATTATACTTTATTTCCATTTTAAAACAAGAGTATCTATTCTCATTACCTGTACTTTCTCTGCTGTTTCTCACATGGTGGTCATTTTAGACTGAAGTTGCAGGTTCTCTTTGCATTGTTTGCTAAAGGACAGCTGTGCATTCTAAGGGGCAATAAAACAGAATGTCCACTGAGAAAAAAATCTAAATGTCATTTAGCCAGGCACTTCACAAATATCAAGTCCTTGTTTCATACTTGCCCATTTCCTTTAAGATGTTGCCACATGGCTATGTGCTCTTGCAAGCAACAGACATTGCTCCTATAGTACAAGCCTCTTTCTGAAATATACCTTGAACTAAACAAAGTGCTACCTCCTCTAACTTAGCTTTGAAAGTTGAGGGTGACTTCATATCCTTCTGAGCTCAAACTTATTAGTCTCCACTATAAATAACCTCAATACTTCTCAACTAAAAAGATCTCACTGACAGGAGTGGTACAATTCATAGTTGAAGGAATCCGTTGCCAGCACTGTGAGACTCCATGTCTAAGCTGAACTTTTACCTCATCTTCACTGAAACTTACTCTTCCAGAGAAGACTTCAGACAACACACAGTCCCTACATAGGCAGTAAGCATACCTCTTCGCCCATTTAGTACCCAGTTGACCAAGGTTCTAATTTTTCTGTAGTATTAATCACCAATCCATCTATTTGTCTCCCTTGTATGCAATACTTGTGCTACCACAGCTGTGTTTCGTGGTCAGTTCTAGTTTTCCAAGGTAGGCATTCATACCACTGTTTTGATATTTCAGTAGAATACAAAAGTTAATCTTTCAAAAAATAACTAGGGCAACCCCAAACTAGTAAAATAATAAAATAAGACATTCAATGGTTACTAGCCTTGGTCGCATTTGGCATTTGTCCACATAAAAATTCTGCCTCTGAAGTGTGGTACATTTGCTAGGCTCCACATAGGCTGTTCTGATCTTTTCTTTAGTTATTTTCCTCACCCATACTTGTTTACAACTTACTTTTGCTTCTTCACCAAGCTGGGAAGTGATACAGTTCCTGGAGTCTAAAAATAGAAAAGAATGTCAGGACATGCTTTGTTTTCTGTTTGGTAATTTTGCAAGGTGACATTTTGATTTAATGTTTGAGTTTAGCAAAGTTACTGAATATGCCACAAACAGGTAAGACTTCTACAAATGTTTTGTCCTTCAATACTTTTCTTGATAGCTTCAATATTTCAGCAAAATTACTTTTTTTAAAAGTGATTCCATAAATTGTAATTTAATTTTAAAATTAAGCATGTCATCATGCCAATCTCCTACACGTACCACCTCCATGATTGCTTGGGCAAATCAAATAACCCTAAGTCTCTTATTCAGCTGTCTAGTGTGCAAGCAACTGATTTGTCCTGACTATAACCCACAGCCCACATGCAACTTTACAAGTTTTTGTGCATTGACAAAGAGCAAGTTAGATACCTGCTTAAACCACCCAGTTCTAAAAGCAGAAGCATTTTTGTTGGAATTTGAATTAACCTGCCTGTAAGAGCTAGCTTCTTACTCTGCTATGCTGTATAACATACTGGGAAAAAAAAGGTAGACAACAAGAGACAACTCAGCATGAGCAGGGTAGGGAGGGAAATCTAGCCAAAATATTGGGACATTCAAGGTATCATCAAAGGATCACTCAAAAGTTCTTTCAATTAACAAAGGGAAAAAGCCTTGATCAGCAGGACTATTTGGTACAGAAGTAAAGAAAATTTATGTCTCATTTGTCATTTGCATATGGATTTGTTCTGAAGGAAAGAATTCTGCCATCCTTCTCCCCCATTCAGCCAACTCTGTCACAACATGACAAGTTTCTCTCCTCTTGCTATGCCTTATGCAGAAACACCGACTGCCTTTTGTGAGCTACAGGTTAATTATCGCATGTGTGATTCACAGAATAACAAACAAAACATATGGGAAACAGGAACACTTCTGTAAAAAGAGTAGCTAGAAATCTGAAATAGGTCCTGATGGAAGGATCACAAGAACAATAATTATGCTAGTATTTAGGCAGTTACTGTGAGTTATTAATTTTGACAGTATGGAGCTTCCCTTTATCCTAGAGCGTATTAAATGCCACTTAGTTCCCTTATAAGCAGCTACTTTTACATCAATAGACTGGGAATCTAAATGAGTTCAACTAGAGGCTTATCCAAGATGCTTGTCCTTACACTGATGTTTAATAGAGCACATTTTTTTAATCAGCTGCAAAAAGACTCAATAGCAATGGGCATTCTACTTGCACATCAGTTCAGGAATCATGCGTAAATGGTCACTTGCTAGATGAAGTCTCCTCTGAAAAGAATTTATGCTGATGGAATCTTTTCGTATTATTGTTGTGTACTCATTACCCTGATTACCTCTGTTGCCAGTTTCCTCTAGGTAAGAAGAGGCTTTGGAAACATCACATGCAAACTAAAGGCCTTTAAAATTTCATCACCTCTTAAGCTGCCCCCCATTCTTGTTGACTGATACCCCTGCCACAGGTGTGGAGGACCTCAGTGCTTGTTTCCTCTTACTGCGGAAGCAGGGAGACAAGGGCTAAAAAGGTATGACAATAACCCACTGTCACGCCCAGTTCAGCTTTCAGTTGTGTGCACTGTTGCTCTAGTTGGGCAGTTCTTTCCTCCTCCTCCTCCTCCTCTTGCAGCCTCACTTGGGCTAGCTGGACATCTTTACACAACTCTTGGCAGTCCTGCTGTAATATCTGTACCTGAAACGACATCACTGATTACTCTTTAAGATGCAGAATTCAGTGAGGCAAACCTAAGCAAATTTCAGAGCCTGAAAAGTTGATCTAACTGGAAAAGATACAGCCTTATCAGCTTCTCCTCTCTTTCTGCTTGTCCCAATCTTATGTAGAAGACTTCTATGGCAAGCAACTCAATTTCTATATGTAACACAGTGTTTGTGTGCTTATCATCATCTTTACATGACAGGCAGAATCTAACAAGTTCGCACAATGAAAGATTACAGAAAAGATCAAGCTATAAAAGATGAAGGTGAATGCAACGTTCAAGGCACCTAGTCTGTCTCATGCTGGTTTTGAGGAATTTTTTTTTTTTTAATGCCATATACCACAGGGTCAACTATACCCATCAGAAAGTGATAAGATGAATTAAACTAAGCCTTTGCTTCTCACATAATATATAATTCATATAGTTCAATAATGTATCCATCATTTTTCTGCTTCTGCTGTAGAAGAACACAAAGACGATAAAAGGCACATAGGAAAAAAATCTAGTAATTTCCAAAAGAACTTCATATGTTTCAGGAATGAAGAGACCTTTATGAACATCCAAAAACTTAAAAAAAAATCCACCCTTAGTTATTCAAGTTTTGATACTTCACCATTTGCTTTCTTTTATCCTTACTAAACTGTTGCTATGAATTCAGAATTGTTAGAGTGACTGCATGTGGCTCGTGTGTGCACGCATGCAGAAAGGGGGATTGGTTTTGCTTATTTGAATTGTGTGTAAGCCAGTTCATTTCTACCATGAACTATGGCTCCTCCCCACACTCCAGAATAGCTAGATAGTACAAATACAGCTGAGAATAAAAATCTGGTTTTGTCATCATGGCAATTAATGGAGAAAACATTCTTACTCCAGAAGGTTTACGATCTCAACAGAATATTTTTCAGAAATTGCATTTTCTATCTATTTATCAGTACGTCAATTATAAAGAGGGTTGTTTAGCCTGGTGAAGAAGAGGTTAAGGCAGGATCCAGTTGTGGCCCACAAAACTGAGAGGTAGTTACAAAGATTATGAAGTCAAACTCTTGTCAATTGCACTGAATGATTTAAGAAGGGGCAATGGTCCCAGATTTAAGCTTGGAGCGTTCAGTTTGGATGCTAGGAAGAAAATCCTAACTGGAACATTACTGCACCACTATAAAAAGTGCCTAAAGCACCCATGGAATCACAGTCCTGGAACTCTGCTTCACAAATCCACCACTGCCCCAATCCAGTGTTTGTGATACCCCTACTTTGAGCAGGAAGTTTGACTACATGATCTTTTCTGATCAATGTTTGTACAAAATGTAGTTATAAAGTGTCTCATCTCCCAGATGAAAAAACAAAAAGAGATACAAAAGAAGACTGAAAGTTTCTCAGACCTGCTTCCATTCTACTTCTACTGTTGTTTCCATGTCCTGTACATGGCACATCACAGCTGCTTGGGACTCCTCCAAAGACTCCCACGGGCTGACCTCCTGGGACAGCTGTTCTGTTAGCTAGAAAAAAATAACGCTTTCTGACCCAGGTCTAATTAAGTAGATTGAAAAAAATACTTTGGGATTATATATGAAAGATGTTCTGTGCAGGTATTTAGTTATGAGCACGGCTGGCAGGTTCCTCTGGGTTGTGCACATTCCAAAATTGCACCCAGAATATTATTTAAGGATCTTCTTCAAATCTTTAAGTAAAACTTGGCAAATTCAGCCTCCTGCTAAGCTGCTTGCTCTTGTACTTACCTCCTGAAGCCTACAGTTAATTTTCTGTTCTGTGTTCCTCAGTTCCTCAGCTGCAGTCACTACATGCATCTAAAGAAGATGAAAGGAACAGATATTTTTATCCTTTCATGTTCATAACTATTGCAAAAGCAGTACATATTATAAAATGCAACTGCCATGCTAACACCTAGAACTTGATTTCTATCTCCAGTCTGGTGTTCTCTGTCCTGAAGCACTGAATATAAGAGTGCAAGCACTAAGAAACAAAGCATTCTTTAATACAATTAATGAGATTGAGTGACATAGTCCACTGAAGTTCTCTTCAGGGAAGATACTAGTAGAAGTTAAGACTGAAATACCAGAGAAACGTATGTTCCTGGAAAAACAGATAAAGCTGTTGAGCACTCTATGCATGAAAGCCAGGACAAACTTAAGTCACGAAGATGAGAAAATTACTAATCTAAAACATTTTTATTCTTGATTTCCTATGTAATTTTTTTTAATTGATGGAAGCACAGATTCTCGTTATCAAAAGTGTTTGCTCTTACTGCCAACAATATATCATAAACTCCTTTTTCCAGCTGAGTACATTTTCTGTTTAACTATGTCAGAGATTAATGTACTTAAAACCAAGTCCATTTATACTTGAAACTATAATAACCTTTGGTACCTTGGATGCAGTTGTAATCTCCAGAGCAGTACTCAGCCTCTGAACTTCTTCTTTTGCCTCTTCTTCAGCCTCTTTCATATCGCTTCGGGGTTGGTCCAACTTCATTGCTTCTTGCTGTACAATCTTCCATTTCCTGCAAATGCTCCTCATGGATTGCATTCAGGCACTGCTCCAACTGGGCTGCCAAAAGAAAAGGCAAAATTTTCATTGACAGAAAAAGCATATGGAGGGACAAGGAAGAACAAAGTGGTAAAAAACTTTTTTACTATCTGCATGCTTTGGATTCAGTTCCTTTTCTGTCTGCAGGCGGAAGACGTTTAAATTCAGTGCCCGTACAACACTCCCTAACTGACACATTTGATTCACCAGCGTTTCACAGTTTTTCCACAGCGTATTTTCTCCCACAAATGCCACCCTGGCCTGCACAGGACTAATGGCTGGGTGACTAGCAGGTGTTTCTGAAGTCTTTCAGGGGAAATTATTGAGGCTGAAGAGGAGAAAAGACTGACCTACCCCATGTATGCATACCTACCCGACATTGCACTTATGCATTACAGATGCAATTAGATTAGAAACCATGTTGCATAGACCTGGAAGGTTTCCTGTGACCCCAGGTTGCTGTAGCCCATTCTCGTTGACTCTGCCCGTACCAGCTCTCTCGTGTAGAGAAGCGCAGAGCATGGCAAACGGGTGCAAAGAGGAACAAGAAGAGGAAAAAAAGCAAGAAAAGCGTGAGCTCTCCAAGAAGGAAAAAGCTTACCCCTGCTTTCTCCCTACCTCTGCCCATCGACGCCGAGAGCCTCCGGGTGTCGCACCAGTGTGCTGGTTTGCTCTTCCACCACCCTCATCCTCAGCTGGAGCACCATGAAGGCCTCGGGCACGGTCGCCCTGACGCTCGTGGCCATGACGGTTGGCCCGGCCATCCCGCTCAGGCGGTCTCCCGTTCCCGCCCTGTGGGGACCCGCAACAGCCACGGCTGAGGCA